AAAAAAAAATAGTAAACACTTAAAATTTCTCTATGAAAAATTGATATTAAATTTGTAAGTAATTATATTGGGCCCGTATACGGGCCTTCAGTTATCTAGTATATATACATATGTAATCTTTCAAATACTACGTAGGTGGGGACGTGTTAGGAGGTATTGGAGAAGGGAGAGGAGCCAATCAGAAATGATTCTCGTGACATCTTGGCCAATAAAATAGGAAAAAGTTTAAAATATTATCAAGAATTTTATAAGGTAGGATGAGAAAATAATAGGTATTAATATTTTAATTTCACTTGTTCTTGCTTCTTTCTTTGTTAAAAAAATAGGAGGTAAATATAGGTGTATATACATAATTGGGCATCAAGTGTAATATATGAATATCTATTTGTCGTATATATACTTTGGGCATCAAATATATTACTCTCTATGTCCTTAATTACTTGTCAATTTTTGAATTGACACACTTATTAAAAGAAAACAAATATTAATATAATGAGTTTACCATTTTATCCCTATTAATTATGAAGTAGATGAATTAAAAACTTAAGATTTTCAAAAAGTTCTACCTTTTTTCAAAGTAATTAATTGAGGGTATAATAGGTAAAATTTTTTTGTCCTTTCTTGATTTGTCAAAATGGACACGTAATTAGGAATAACTATAAATGAAAAAGTGGACTAGTAATTAAAGATAGAGGGAGTATATGATTAGGCAGCATACAATACATAACATATTGTGTGTATATTTATCTTACAACATAAAATATATTAACGTGGACATTCATTTTAGAACAAAGAAAAGATTTTCCTTCTTATCAATCGCTCCAGAAAATTTTGATAGCTTAATTAATTGATTATATTTAGCTACCTAAATTTCACTTGTTGTTGTGAGGGTTCGATTTCGATAATTCACCACCTCATATTTTTTTCTATAAAAAAACAAACCTCCTCCGAAAAAATCCCCCAAAAGAAGCTATTATTTTTTAATACTTTGTTTGGATGGTGGTTAAAGATCATTTTTTTTGTTTGGATGGTTGTTAAAGATTATTTTTTCCCCTTTTTACCATGGTTTAAGCCAAAAAAGAAAAAGAAAAAAAAAGGCAATCTCCTTAGTGAATGTGGTCTTAAGTGTAAACAAGATTTCCACAATTGGATCATTGGATGGATGGGGAAAATAAGAGAGTATGGTTTATGTGTCATCTTTCTCTCTCTCTATATATACCCAAATTCTTGTTATCATAATTGTCTCTCAACCGTTCAATTCTCTTTCTAATATCTCTCCATTGCCTCAATCTTTTTCTCCTGCATACTTTTAGAGGTAAAAACTCTCCTTTTCTCCCCTTTGTGGTTTTGCTATATTTATTTCTAAATTTTGGAGATAGATGCCTTTTTGATTTGTAAATGTGGATATTGTTTTGTATTTGGGTGCTGTGTTTCTTGAAAAAGTTTCAATCTTTATGTTTTGTTCATATGTTTTATCTCATATTGTGAAAGATTTGTTTGACATCTTTTCTTCATTTGTTTTTCTTTGTGTGGGGGGTGGGTGGG